ATCTTTTGGCAGGAATTACTACCATAACATGGTCCTCTTGATTAAGGGGAAGTAAGGTTAAACTCGTATCTTATTATCTTAACAGATCAATATTTTTCTTTCACACAATAGAACAGAATGGGGGGATATGTAATTTTCAATAAGATGATGAAGTTGTATGAATGTTTAACTTCAAATTTATCTCACAAACACATCCGTTTTATCATTGCTTTACTGGCAAAATCATTTGTAAATCGGACAAAACATGTGCACAAAATAAAGATTTTCTTTGTTCAGAATCATGGACTTAGCTATTTTTTCAGTGTTGAGGCAAACTTGCATGAAGTTTTCACCATCAGAGTTTGGACACATTTGTACACTTATCTTACCAAAATGACCATTTCCAATAAGTTCTGCACACATACAAATGGATATAAAATGCCTGAAAGCATTTGCTTGTCCTTTTTCAAATTGCATGTTACAGAAATGGGTAAATTGTTTATTTTGGACATAAGTTAACACCAAATCGGCACAATTGGTCAAATTAGATGGTTGATATTTTTTTTTGTATGTGAATGTTGTGATTATAATGTTGTAAAAATGTCCAATTCATAGATGATATGTGATAAAATTTATTTTAAAGTATCTATGGAGTATATAAGATACCTTGGTGAAAACTTATGAGTTATTTCCGGATGTGTGTGTCTCATTCTTAAATTAACAAGGTCAATATGGCCTATATTTTGATCCTGTGAAAAGAAAACCCTTGTTCTGCGCATCCTTCCCTATTTCAAGAATGTAGTACACGTAATAGAACTATGGAAATATCTTTGGCAATTAATTATATGGCAATGTTTTATAAGATAACACGTTGTGTTTATAGGTGAAAAGTTAAAGACATGTTGTAAAACTTCAAGCTCACCTAGCGCGAGGTCTAGGTGCTATACACCATAATGAAGCGGAGAGAATTTTGACAAAATTCTAAACATGCAGGCGTGGATTACGAATTTCTACCAACATATTCCCCGGATCTCAACCCTGTTGAAAATAGCTTTTTAAAAGCCAAGATCATGCTAAAATATAGGTTTGCTGCTCTAGCAAAAGACAATTTCAAACTGGCGTTGATACGCTCGTTCGAGAGTAACACTGCAGCTGCGATGACATTCGTGGGTACTATATGTACTGTCGGCACACAGGTTATCTAAATGTGTAAATCTTTCTCAAGTACTCTGTATTGGTGAAATGTATGTAAACATATATCACATTGTACAATTACTTGTTATCGTTTTCGTGCCTTCATTTGTATTATGTAATTTACAAATATATATAGACAGATATGTAAGTTATTTAAGGAACGAGTTATTACCTTTCAGTGCAGCGGCCGGTATGGACAGTTTTCAAGCATGTGTTATATTCTTCATTTTGCCCTTTTGAAATCATAAATACCAGTATAGTTCACGAAAATGTGGATAAGTACACATTCAACGAAACATTCAAGTCATGACACATGGTTTGAAACATGTACATGCAATGTAAATTTTACATTTCCATAAACGTGTATGCGTAATCTTAAGTTGACAATGCGCGCAAACAGCATGTCTCCGAAAAAGATACAATATTGTACACTGCTTCTGAAATCAAGGACGACATCGACCTCAAACGTTCAATCGACCAATCGACGAGCCAGATGCAGTGAGTGACACGCTGAATCATTTTGAACACGGCTTGTTTACGGAGCCCTGTTGACGCCGTGACGATTTTGATTGTAATCTGGAATATGGTAAAACTTAATTATGTATAAATGTTTAATCTCCGGCAGCATCAGGGACTTTGTGCATGTGCACTCATTGGAAAGTAAAGAAGGGAAAGGGCCCATTTTCCTATATAAAAAAAATAATTAACACAAGGTCGGTGCCCCGAGCCATCATGGGTATCATGTATAAGATATATTGTATGTTCTTTCGGCCATTTTTTTTTTTAAATTCACTGACTTCTGCAGATCGGAAGATATCGGTTTGAAGTTGATGACTGACGGCCGATGCTCACCGTTATGCAACTCAAAAATTAAATATATTCAAATAATTGCACATATCTTTAAATAATTGAAAATAGGTACAATTTAATTATAGATACTAAATAATCTTCAGAACAGTTGAATTAAAGTTAATTGAACCTCTCAGTCAAATGCATCTTCAAAAAGTCCAATTTAAGCTATATTCAATTGAATTATACCTATATCTTTACATAATTATACATTTATTCATTTGTTTGAAGATAAATGCAATTATTTGAATACATATTAATTTGACGTTCCCTACACATTGGTAAGCTAACATGCACCGACTGCGGGCTGCAATAGATGTTAAGAGAAATGAAAAAATCTAGATCTGTGAGATTGAAATCATATTCACCATCATGAACACAGTTGAAGCCTCAAATACAACACAAATCATAGCAAGGTATATATGATATTTTATGTCTTTTAGAAGTCGTTTTGGACAGTGTGTCATTTGTTCCTTCTTGGAGAGAAAATCCACGTCTTTCATAAAATAATACATAAGTACAAACACATCCCCATTTGAAGATTTACTTTTAACGTTTTTTTTCTGTCGGAAAAGTGTTTTGCCGAACGTGCCCTGCCTTGGGGCAAGTTCGGACAGGAATTGCTGTTGGCATTGATGTGCACTGGAGTTAACACTGAAGTGAACTTGAGTTCACATCGATGTGCACTGGAGTTCATTTAAGGATTGACCTTCATTTTGACTGCTATACGGTAGTATGTTCGTTGCCAACTGCATTCATACCAACGTATACGCAGTCAAACTGAAGATCAATTCTTATATTTACATATTTTTCGTACTATGATGGTACACTCAGAATAAAGCTAACTCCAATACATTTGCTTTTATATTGGTACAAAGCCTCCGTAACGTGCGTAAATCCAAACAAATGAACAGCCTACAGCCTGCGACCAGCGATGGATCTCCAACGTTACCATTATGACGTCACAATGTAAATTACGTCATCAATAGGAAAAATTGGTCTCCAAGGAATCTCACTGCGTATACGGTAATTATACGCAGTCACGGTTTACACAGCTTCAATGGGAGCGAATGTAAATATATCAATATGCACTGGAGTTAACACTGAAGTGAACTGGAGTACATTTCAATGTTTTGTCAAGTGCACTTCCTTGTTCACTACGTGTGTACTATGAATTGCACTAGATACCAAGTAAAGTTTGCTCCCAACTGTAGCATGGATAGCCCCAAAAAGAAATTTCAATAAATTCGTATATTACAACAATACGAAAGTCAATGCTATGCTTTTATGCATGAGCCATGATGAGGGCCACTTTTCCTCATGAATATTAATGAGGGGCGGAGCATGTTTGATCACGTGATCATCAGAGTTTTTTCCGCGCCACCATGGCAACCAACAGAAAAACAATTGTTCCCAGGCTCATTTTAGTTACGTTTTTGGCGTATTTTAAGACAACTCTGTAGAATAAAATTAACCAACTGGTCACATTGAACGAGATTTATCAAAGATAATGATATGGGAGTTACATAACTTCTTAATATAAGGAAAAATATAGAATACTAGTAACACCAGGTGAAACTGTCAGTGACGCAAATAAGTAGCAATTCGGTTTATAGAAAGTTCGCAAACTAGAAAGAAGTCAAGTCAGGTCATGATTATCTTTCTACCCGCCCGGTCTCCCCTACTCTACTTCACCAGAGACCTACACATATATACGTCTCTAACTTCACCCTACCTGTTGGCATTTCTTTTCATTAATTATCGGCGATCGATGTGGGCAGAAGGTGGGCAAACAAATACATAAACTGTTTGAACAAAATATATATGATAAAATGTGTCAAATCACGAAACTAGATTGCTATCTAAGTCCGTGGTCAAATATATATATAAAAAACACCCTAAAACCACAACATTTTACAACATGTAAAATTACTCTGAACACCTTAGTTTAGGTCCACTGAAATATAGCTGTAACAAATTCTCAGGTCCCTGAGATAACCATACTCAAAAATTAAGTTTTGGCGGCGATTTCCAGGACCTAAAAATAGTTGCCTTTTGCCAAAGGTTTGGTTGAATGTATAATATATCTCCCGGGCAACCATTTGGGAGTTTGAAAACATTTTTTTTTTGATATCTTAGTTTAAAATGTCAAGGTTTGGCTCTTTTAATGTATTTATATATCAAAATGTATCAAATGTCCCTTGGGTTTTACCTAACTCATATAAGCATATAATTTGAATACAATTAACTTTTATCAATGCAAAATAAATAATTTCTATGTTAATAATAATATGTGATATCAAATATGTGCATTTTTTACGTAGTAGTTTCGTGGGTAACAGTTTCCTTATTGAAGTCTTGCATTTTTTTCGCTCAAAATAAATAGTTACCAAGATCTCCATTTTTGAGAAAATTGAATCATTTGTTTAACTAGAATAATAACTTACATGTAATTGCTGAACAAATTACCTGAAAGGGAAATACAATTTCAGCATATAAAGGACACCAACGCAACAGTGGGAAATGCAATTTTGAGTAAGAAATACTGGTAAACGATAGAAATCATTATGTTCTCCGCCCTTTTTTTTTTAAACGTTTTTGATGTCATAACCTTCACGATTTGCTTAATATAACAGAAACCCCCCCCCACCAAATTCTGAAAATTTTGATGTGTAAGTCACGCTTTCTGGACCAAAAGGCCTTCTGAATTTATATCATCCCACGCAAATGTTTCCAAACGTTCAACTGACGAGGTTGCAAGCGTCTGACTGACATTGAATGTTACTTTGTCTTTTGACAGTGAAGTACAATATCACGAATATGACTAGTCTACTGTTTCTGTTTGTGACGTTGTTTGAAGTTACCAGTCTGTGTCTATGCTACAAACCTGTCATTTACATGCACGGAATCCTTGCTGCACCTGATGAAGTAAAACCAATCTTAGACTTTATAGAAAAGGCAGGTACAAAGAAAGCCAGTTGAGCTGTTGGATGCTGTTCATTCTGTACTGATAGTGTCCGGTCCAACCGGTTTGTCTGTTTTTTAATATAACATAATAATTATCGGGTATAGATACTGGCGGACGTGCAAATGTTTATGCAGGCCTTGCGAGGCTTGTCGAGGTCGAGGCTTGCCTGAAAGCAGCATCGGGTTACTAGGTCCTACCGTATTTCTGACATAAACAGCGCATATCGGTATTAATCCTGCATTTGGATAACATCGTTGAATGCACTTCGAATCTACTTTCACTATCCTATATAAAAAATCAAAATTTTGTACTTCACTTACGTTATTGAAAATCGCCATATCTATTGCAACTTTTGGTTGAACAGTTTTAGGTTTTGAAAGTATTTCACGACCTTTGAAGCCTTAGAAAAGTCGGTACATCTAAAATCACGAAAATGTCAAAAAACGAAAAACGTTCAACCAAAAGTTGTTTATAATAACCATATAAATAGCGATTTTTAATAAAGATAGTGAAGTACAAAATTATCATTTTTTTTATAAAGGATAGTGAAAGTAGAATTGAAGTGCATTCAACCATAACATACAAAGATGTTACCCAAATGCAGGATTATTACCCATATGTGCCGTTGTGCCCAACCTGATAAACTGGTTCAACCGTCTGAACCATCTGGATGTTACACTCTGCACCCCTGGTATATGTGAAAGCAAAATTGAAGGCTTAGTGTACGTCGTCTAAATGATGGGACGAACACTACTGGTTCGATCCACTGGTGCTCGACACACTGATATGACGTGTATGTACTATTTACTTATATATATATATATTTGTTTCCAAACGTTATATGTTAACTAACAGGAAATAGAATAGTGTGCTTCCACCGGAGATCAAACCCGCGATCCCAGGTTCCTAGTCGGACGCCCTACCGCTGAGCTTAAAGGATATTCCCTTTAGCTCAAAGCTAGAAGGCAACCGTAATCCTATGTTAACTAAAATCTACCACATATATCACCTCATATCAGTGTGTCCAGTACCTGTGGTTCGATCCTTAGATGTTCATCAAACTAATCTCGCATACGTTTAACAGTAAAATTTACTGGCTTTGAAGTCGGGTGTCACTCCTCTGTAATCTTCAAAGGACAGATTTCAACCTTGCAATTTGTCTTCTTTTTTTTTAAAATCTGAGAGCAGTCAAATAGCTAACAGCTTGCTTTCTATTTTGCTATGACATATTACAGGTATCTGGTGCCCATACAGGTAATGGGTTGTTTCGCCCTAAACCCTGTTCGCACTAAGGGTTGTTTCGCCCTAAACCCTGTTCGCACTAAGAGTTGTTTCGCCCTAAATTCTGTTTGCCCTAGGTTGTTTCGCCCTATTTTAAAAAAAAATTCATATGCTAATATAATAATTAATATTCAAATGTATCAAATAAATTTATTGATGACTTTCTCCATTTATGTGAGAGCGGAGTCAGCTTTTCACAGCCGTCGTTTCTCGCTTAAAAATGAAACAAACACATTTTTTCTATGAAATTGATTTTAATGATATGGAAGACTAAGAAGACTTAATTTGTGACCTAAAACTTCTAAAATTGAAAGAAAATACCATACAATATTTCGCTCTAATATTTTTGTTTTAGGGCAAAACAACCTAGCGCGAAACAACCTAGGGCGAACAGGATTTCAGGCAAAACAACCCGAAACCGTCCACACCAGACATCTATATCTGTCAAAATGTCTAAAGTCTGGAGTCAGGGCCAGAGGAAACTTCGGCTAATTCCAGGGGTGCAGAGAGTTTAAGTGAGTGTAACCCATTGAGTATTAAGGATTGGAATAGAGGAGTGTACTTGGGATTTAAATTGTTGATATTAGAATTTAGAAGGCAGATCTTCCGGGAGGTTGTTGCAATCAGCAGTGGTAAGTGGGGGAAAATGACCTCAGTATTACACTGAAACTGGCAAACATTATTCACTGTTATTTGCTCTGGTTCAAATTTTTTTTTGGCCAAGACTTGATCTTCAGGTAGAGCAACAAGCCCCTTCACCATTTTATAGAGGAGACAAGTCGATGGTACCGTCTGCAATCTCTGAGTGATGATAGTTTCAGGGTATCCAGTATTGATGTCTCGCTGCTTTCTCTCTGGAAATCAGTTGTTATGAACTGGGCAGTGCGATGTTGTATCTTTTCTAAAGAATGGATGTAGTTTTTCTGGTACAGATCCCATATTGTTGAGCTGTATTCAAAGATGAATCTAATTAGCAACTTGTAAAGAACTGTTAACTTTAGTGGTAAAGGACAGTGTCGCAAATTTTGTTGTTAGGACCTGAGTGTGGAATTTTCTTTATTTGCGATGGTGCAGACATGAGCATCCTACTTCATGGTGTTGTGAATAACAACCCCTAAGTATGGATTCTCTTCAACTTCCTCAAGTATCTGTAGGTGCTAGGTGACCTGTATCGCAAAGTGGTGTTAGGATGTTTTGTTCCTCGAGATGGTTCCTGGGGTAGTGATAGATGATGAGCTCAATGAGTTTACAGTACACACATCTGAGTGACACTGGCCTGTAGTTACTTGGTAGGTGACATTTTCCTTTCTAAATATTGGGGTTATGTTGGCAATTCGCAAATCTTCTGAAAGTTCAACATTTGCAATGGATTGCCTGTGCTTCCAGCGAGTAGTTTGTCTCCCTGTTTCAGTGGGGCAATCCCAATATTGTTTTGCTTCCTGGCCTTTATATATATATCTACTGCTAAACGTTTTATTTTATTTTGCTCAATCCTTGATTGCAGTGTTTATTCCAAGACAGACTATTCAGCTACCGTAAAGCTTTTCATTTTTTTTCATTTCTGATGTGTCATTACTATTGTACACTTTACTTAATTTTGTCAACTAACTAGATGCTGATTAATTTTATTTCTTTATTCAGGCCTAATACACACATTCTGATTTTCATTAAAAGATGAAACATATGCCTGCTTTGCTACTAACAGGTAACCGAAATTTGCATATCTTTATAAAAAATATGAAGCCACCTTGATGGCTTTAGCAGGTTATCAGAATTATATCCAGACCAAAATAATAAACCCTGAGAAGGGTCATAAATAAATGTTATTTTTTCATCAGATATGATATATGTAGTATATATATATGTCTCTGATATAATTACTCAAAAATAAAAGATCAAATGCTTACTTGTATATGACAGATTCACCCTGGAACCAATGTGACAACCATTGATGCCTTCAGTGGATATGAGAGCTTACAACCGTTATGGACCCAGGTGTACAAAATCAAGGAAATTGTCACAGGCATCATGAATGAACATCCTGGTGGAGTTCATATGATATGCTTTTCACAGGGTTTGTTGTTCACTTTGAATAAATATCAAACATGCAAAAGTCTTGATGTTTTCATGTCTACCATATAGCAAGTGTGAGAGAAACACAGGAAGATTAAAATGGCATCATATATATCCAGGAATGTTGGGTCAAGAAATGTAAAAGCAAACACACTTTCAGTTCTAATTGTCTGGCACCTTCATTCTAAATCAATAAAAAGTGACATGGTTCTCCTTGTTGCCAGTTAAAGTCTTAGGTCAATTACACTAGATTCTATAACAGTTACCATCCCACAGCCACTCAGCAGGACCATTCTTCTATCATGAAATATTTATTCATATATTATATTTAATCTGAAGAGGATCCAGAATATAGCCTCAGTCATAAACATTTATGGAATTGTTTTATGCTAAGTTGAAGCAAATGAAGAAAGAAATGTAAAAATGGTGAAAGGTTCATTAACAATCTCTAAAATTGTGAAACTGAGAAGTTGGATAGTCTGTAACAAAATTTAAGGCAGATCAATAACACACACTGAAAATGAGGTTACTTTATCTTTTAGGTGGATTGGTTTGTCGTGGTCTACTCTCGGTAACCAGACACAATGTTGACACATTCATATCCCTGAGTTCACCACAGGCAGGCCAATATGGAGGTCAGTGTATTAGTCATAACTCAGTTTCATTTCCTTATTTTAAAATTGAGTAATCATATGTTACTTAAATGATGTAATTTCTGGTTTAAGTATAGATAATGTGTAGGGAAACGAAACATTTGAGTGAATGTGATAAGTTGTAACAAAAAAGGCATAAACAATTATATACTATAAGGGTTGGTAATGCAAGTAATTTTTCATATTGCAATGTATTTCAATATTCAAGGAAATGCATGTATTGCAAATAATATCGCAATACATATAACGTGTATTGTTTTCCTAGATGTTCAGTGAACTTGAAATCACTTTCCATAGAATAAATTTAAGTGAGAATCATTTAAGTAAGTTCAATAATATATTTAAAAATTATTTTACATGATATTGTAAATTTTCAAACCAAGCAGGCTTAATTTGGAAAACATTAATTATTTTTTGACATTATTTTTGTGAAATTATTTCATAACTTTGCCTAAACCAACTGAAAATTATTGTAATATTTATTGTTTAAAATGATATTGCAATATATATATTGATAAGCAGTCACATAGTAAAACATATTGGTAATTGCAATGTTATTTGCCGACCCCTAACAGTATGTGATGAATACATATTTAAATTGCATATAATTGGATAAAGTGTTAGGAATACAACAGTCAACTGCTGTTAAGATCCAGCTTATTGTGTCCTTGAAATGATCAGACCAAAACAATCTAATTTTGACTTGAGTAGGAGAAAATTTCTCCTGATTCATTCATCTTGAAATGTTTTGTTTTAGCATAATTTATGGAAAGCAGCTGTACCATGTTACTAAATTGATATATAATGCCTTTTTTTCCAGACACTGCCTATCTGAAGTATCTGTTTCCACATTTTGTAAAAAAAGAAATTTACAGGTGAGCTGAGCTTCTTTTTTAAATTAAATTTAAACAAAAAAATTATTACAAAATATGGTATTTGACAAAAATAATTTCCTCATTTTCTTGACTTTCTAAGTTCTATATTTCCTCTAATAACACCTTTTGACTGCCTTTTTAGGTTACCTCACCATAGGTCATGGTAACCTATTGTGATAGTCTTTTGTCCGTTGTCGTGCGTTAACTTTTCCTTGTTAACACGGTAACTTCAGTAAAGGTAAATCGAGTTTGATGAAACTTTGTATGCAGCCATATATCAATAAGATCTCGGACGAGTTTGAAAATGGGAATTATTTGACTGTAACTAACAGAGTTATTGCCCTTTGTAATATTATTATTATTGGACCTTGTGAACACAATAACTTGAGTAAATGTTAACGGAGTTCAATGAAACTTTGTCCGGTAATTATTTGACGGTAACCTGCAGAGTTATTGCCCTTTGTCATTATATTATTATTTGTCCCTATGATGTTGATTGACATTACACAAGAATGGATGTAAATGCATGTGGTACACCTTTTTTTTTCATTCATGACGCATTTGTGCTACTAACAAGGTGCTATTAAAATTTTGTGCCTTATTTAATATATCATTGATTTACGCTTTTACTTGTTTCTTTTAACCAAGAACAGAAGACATACAGTTACCAAGTTTGTTCAAAACAGACCCCTTGGGTCAAAATTGGAGTCACACCCACTTATTTCAGTTATCATGTACACAGGGTCCAACAATAATAGAATTACCAAGGGAAATAACTATGTACGTTATGGTCAAATTCGTCCGGTATTCAAACTCATCCACGATCTCATTGATACAAAGCTGCAAACAAAGTTTCATCAAAATCGGTTCATATTTACTGAAGTTATTGTGTTCACAAGGAAAAATTAATGGATGATGCAGCAAGGTCACTCGGACCGACAAAAAGTATGAATTGGCCCCTGGATGACAGTCCTAATTTGAATCGGATGTCAGGTGAACGTTAAGGCCCATTGGCCTCTTGTTTAAGGTAGTTATGGTCCTTTATGCAAAATAACTTTTCCGCAAAATCATCTTAACCAACAGGCAGATTTTATTGAATCTTCACTTGAATGATCAGGATATTATGCTTTTGTGCACTGGCATTTTAATTTCGAATTGCAACACTTTTTAAGGGAGTTACGGTCCTTAATGTGAAATAACTTCTCCAGAAACCCCAAGGNATTATCTCTAGTGTTCCTGCAGTGATGTTTCTGAAATAAATACAGTCAAGGTTCCAGACTTTTTTCCACAATTGTAAAATGTTCATTCTTATAGTCTTATATCGATAAACTCAGTGAAGTTATTGTTTGACTTTGGCCTCGTTTAATTTGCCTTACTATGACCATAAATAGTTTATTATCTCTAGTGTTCCTGCAGTGATGTTTCTGAAATAAATACAGTTTGTTAAGAACACCATGATAATGTAAAATATTATAGGTGGTGATCCTAGTTGGAACATGATTTTTTTTCTTAAAAATTTACAGTGCATGTCATTAGATTTAAGATTGTCAGTCAATACTTGATGATTATTCCATCCAGGTGACCGTTAAGGCCTATGGGCCTCTTGTTTAATTTATTTGTTAATGTTTACAACTTCTACAATAAAAGTACTTGTCCAAGTTGATACAAGGCACCACATTCAGGGCTCACAGCTGGTCGACCCGAGTGATATTGGAGATTGTAACCCCTGGAGTTAGCATATTTGATTGTTCCAGGGAAATAAAACCAATTTGGATTGAAGTTGAAGATAATGAGAAAAACATCAAGTGATAGATCTATACTTACGCTATTTTCTCATTAGTCTTTGTTTTGTTTTTATTTCATTTTGCAGAACTCTTCATAATAGTGTTTAATATATAATGTCTGGTATGAGTTGGTAATGAAAATCCATCATTTTCTTCCATTCTAGGTATTTCTACACCAGTTTTGGACAACATTGGTCTGTTGGTAACTATTGGCATGGTAAGAACATGTGGTTTCTATTTTAAGTGTCAATTAAAACATGTGTCTTCTTTTCACAATCAGCCGAGTCTACAAGTGGATAAGTGATTGGTTTACATATTTCGGATGGCTTGGCCTACCATCATCAGAATCAGCCGAGTATGATAACGGATGTTTTATTACAGACTTCTCTTACTTGGTCAATATGTGTGTTTTGTATGAGTCGTATTCATTGTATAGGGCATTTTGTGTACATTATTTATATACCTGCATGGCAGTGTGAACATATAACATATTTCTGTATACTGTGTCATTCTGAAATAACGAAAATGATGACTTCACCTTGTATTGTGTATATATGACTATACACTCACAAAACTTCTTAAGGTAAATATGAAATCTTAGAGATAGCACTAAGGAAAAATTGAATGCAGGATGTATGTCCTCTGCTAGTGAGCAAGTTTTTAAGTACCGCGTAAGTAATAATTATTTATCCCATTGATGTACATTGATTTCTTCAGTTATACTTACATATAATGTACTAGTGCATGCTACATTTAAATAACCTTTAAAAGTACCAGAACATGTTTTCCATAGATCCACATCATGAAGAACTATACAGAAATCAGTCTGTGTTCCTGGCACTGCTGGACAATGATACAAACTCGGCACACAATATAGGTAAGAAGGATATTACACACATGTGTAAGAAATAAGAAGCTCCAATTTACTCATGAACAATAATGTACTATCCTAAATTGTCACAGTGGTCTTTTACAGCTCCTAGCATAGTTGTGATTCTCAATTTTTTAGTTGAATAATGAAAATAACTGAGATGACTGTAAAAAATGTGATTTGTCTTATATACATGTACATATTTAAATGCATGAACAAATATGGTACTGTGTGATATAGTAGTCTGTTTGTACAGGTTTCAATATTAAAGACACACTAGTACAAAGGCTGTCATGATCAATCTCTCTAAAATGTTGCAGCATTATTGGCCAAGACAAATGATGAACCCTCCTGAATTTTAAGGTCAAAAGGTCAAGGTCATAGTTGAAAGTTATAATTTTCTGGCAAGCAAAGACTGTTTATTCAATCACATGCACACAAATCTTTGTATACATTGTATGAAATACACTGGTAAGGCAAGTCAAACGAATGAACTTTATCCACAATCATACATTTTCTGTTAGGCACATGTAGTTGACATCAATCTAGTGACCACTTTTTTAGGGGTCAAGGTTACCATTATTGTTACTTATGGAAGATCTTTGTTGTCAACTATCAAACCATTGAATATCTGAATAGCTTTTGATCAGACTTTGAACCAGCTCTCAGAAAAAGCTGTCAGTCTTTTGGAATGTTACAGTCAAATTTGATTGTTTACATGTGGGATTAGAAATATATATGTATGCATTTACAATGAAAGTTCTTATCAGAGAAAGAGAAGAATGAATAGCTAACTGTAAGCCTTCCATTTCACTGTCATGTTTGAAATGTGCAAAATAGATATGTGATATATTGTGGCAGAACTCGTAGATTTTGGAAGCACTGTACCTTCAATTAGTTGGTAACATCCTTGAACACCTTACCCAGGTAAAATACTTAATCTTGTAAACAACTATTGTTAGGATAGAAGTTAATTTCACCAAAGATATGCAGAGTTCGCAATGTTTTAAACAAATTAAATAATTAAGTCTAAATTAAACTTTTATAAATTCTGATAAAAACTTTCACTTGTAGATTTCAAGAATAATTTTCTACGCCTAAAGAATCTGGTTTTAATTGGTGGACCTCATGACCAAGTGATTACTCCCTGGCAGTCGAGGTATATTATAAATACTTAACTCTTTTGTTACCTCAACTCTGGTCCTGAATCTATACTGCATATCATTGCTAGGCTTAACCAGGCACATATAACAAAATGGTGGATTATCTATATATTTTAATCAGACGAGCGACTCTTCTGTAAGAAGTTAACAGGTAACAGTGAACCAATGTTATCATTTTATAGACGCATCTTTATTTCACAACGTTATAAATAGCTGACAGCTGATTATGACCAAGATATTTCAAGCTACTTCATATCTGGAGGGGAAATGACTGATTTAAACATTTCCAATGTGACTTTCCTAGTCTCTGTTAGCTGATCCACTGACAACTCTCATCCTTTTAGTCTGATTTACCCTGAAACTTGGCTTAACAGTTAGTAATACTCTATTGCTAATGTTGTGGGTGAACTTCCTTTCTTTGATTTGAAATTATGATAAATTTTATTCTTTGCAGTCAATTCGGATTCTTGAATGGAACAGAACATATCTTAGAAATGCGGCAACAGCAGGTACGCCATTGGCCTAAGACAAAGACTTGGACAGACCATACACTTTTATATAGTGTTGTGATATTTTGACACATTTTCATGATCATCAGGGGTCAGATGTGTTACTCTAAAACAGCTTCTTCTACTAAGTCATAATGCCTGAAGTCATGCTCGTGGAAGATATTCCTCTTAATTGGTAGCTTTCATGGGCACTTTAACATTAGTCCCTATGGTAGCTCTCTGGGGCCTCAGAAAATTTGATAGATTTTATGGGCACATTACAAGTAGTTCCTTTGGTAGCTCTATAAGACTCATTACCAGCAGTCTCTTTGGTTGCTTTCCTTGGCTCATGAATACCATTAATCCCATTGGTAGCTTTTCTGGAGCTCATTACCAGTTACCCCGAGGTTTGGTCTCTTGGGTTCAAATGGTCTCTTGGATAGCTCTCTGGAGGTCATTACTAGTAACACTTGGGTAGCTCTCTGGAGGTCATTACTAGTAACCCTTGGTAGGCTCTCTGGAGGTCATTACTAGTAACCCTTGGTAGATCCTCTGGAGGTCATTACTAGTAACCCTTGGCAGATCCTCTGGAGGTCATTACTAGTAACCCTTGGGTAGCTCTCTGGAGGTCATTACTAGTAACCCTTGGTCTTTACAAATAATCAGGATATAATCTTGTGATGATTTTGTTCACGGGTCTTGGAGATAAATTAAATCAACTGTAAAGTAGTTTGTGTTTAATTCTAGTGATCATCTCGGTACAAGATTCAGTCTTCATAATTCCATTAAATTTACTATAATATACCAAATTGTACTGAATTAGGTACCTGACAGTGTTAGTCAAACCAGGTGACCGGGATGTCATTTTGCACTTTTAATGTGACGCCATGCCCATTGTATATATATGCTCATATTTCAATTGGTAACCTAGAAAGACTTATTGGCAAAATAGTTAATTCTGTTTCATTTTGAAAGTTTCATTGCTTGCAACCTTTTAGAAATGAAGTTAAGGATTAGTAAATCATCTTTGTTGCAGTTTTATGTGAAGGACTCCTTTGGATTGAAGACATTGGACAGAAGAAAGGCAATCCATACATACACTATACCAGGGATAGAACATGTGATGTGGTACCGAGATCAGAAAGTATTTGACTGTTGTATCAAACACTGGCTCACATAGATAAAATGAAATCTTGGGATAAAACACACACACTGTTTTGTTGAAGACTGACTTGAAGTTGGTCATTGTTTTAAGCAACTAGTCTGATGAGATATTGATCTGAGATTAATGATTTGTAGTTATTGTTTTTTTCTTTCCTATATATTTATTCATCAAGCACTTGTAAAATGATGAAGAATTGATGTGATCAGAAGATGCTGGGAACAAATAGTCAACCCAGGCACGATTTTATTTTCTTTGAAGTCAATCAGTATAGTCACCTCATTGAAACACCGTTATGGTCTGTTCCATCTTAAAATCTGAGTCGGAATTGTAAATGTCTGTATAGTGAATTAATCACAAGTAGGTTTTGATAAAGTTTGTAAACTATTGATCAACTGTCATCTGTCTGAAGACAAAGGTGATCACTTAACATTGTCATAAATTTTGAAGAATCTGTATTTCCTCTACGTTTTTTGATATGCCTTATGAATATGTATAAGCCTACGTCAGCAGGTATCACCATATACCGATGCTTATATTGTGTTTGTACCTCTACAACAGTTTAAACATTCCATACTTTTACCTTCTGTCGCTGTTAGCATGGGTATACACCTAAATATGTATAGTATGTCTTGTACACTATGTTCTGTTAATATTTGTAGAAATTATTATTGAAATTAAATATCATGTATATTCAGGTTAATAACAAGGTCACATTTTAGATTGATCATATCATGATCTAGACATACAGTTTAACAATTGTGTAAATATTGTGTCTATGTCGATTGTATTACAGGTGCACGACCTAAAAACTAGACTATACAGTGGATCCATCAAGTTAGTTTAAAAAAAAAGTAGATTTAATTTTCAACAAGCTAACATTCAAGTAATATTTTTCTAAATAAAAGCATTTTGAAAATCCAAATTTCTAGAATACCTATGGCAAGAATATCATGTATGCCTCGCTGTGATTTTACATGTGTGATGCTGCTGCTTGCTTTTACATTAATTGTGTGTTAGACATGTGCTTGTTATTACAACTTGTTACGAATACCCCACCTGTACTACCATAGGGAATTATAGGTTTGCCCTCCATCAACTGGTGTGTCACTTTGTCCGAGACATATATCTGATATACTTCAACTACTTTTGAGGACAACTCGTACACATTTTACACCTTTGTGTGCATACACTTCACTAGTTATTTGACTGATGAAGGTGACAGTGTACATAATGTACTAGTCATTGAAACGTCACATATAAACACCTTTTGTTTGTGTTACATGAATCTTTTCACAATCCTGTAACATGAAAAGTGTAACACTAATAAATGTTTGGAATATATGTGGTTTATATTATGATATATATTTCATATGAAATGCATTTATTATTTCTTAATTTTGTTGTAGATTCAG